AGTAATAATTTCAGTAATTGACACTGCAACCCACGGCATGGATGACAGATCTTGCCGCCGCCGCCGTAGAAAGTCCCAATTCTTATTATTTATCACTGAACGAGGAACATCCAAAGCAGGACAGGGAAGCTGAAAGTTCTTTTTCTTCTCACAAAGGAAACCAAGCCGCAGGATCACTGCTACTGCTGCTGCTGCTGCTGCTGCTGCTGCTAGTAATACCTTCACAGAGGTGGACCCTGTTGAATTGGCAGGGAGCCTGAGAGTCGGGAATCCGGCCAAAGTGCGGGGTCAATCAGTTGCTCCTAATCGCCTTTTGGATTGACAAGCTCGGCTTTCTGGGAGCACAAACCAAAATACATGCACGGAACAAAACACTGGCCTTTGTGGAACGCGTCTGTTCGTCTAGACAACATGCGCAAAACACTGACTGGTGCACATGCACTACTTTGGGAACGGACGGCTCCTCTGCGCTGTTTTGTGGGAGAACATGCACCGCGAGGGCGCCCCAAAGCTTTCAGTTCAGAGTGTCAGTTTCTCGGGTCTCAGATCCATTTTCAAGGAGACGTTTAACCATACTGTACATGGCCCGCACCTCGCTGCAGGAAGCCCGGTTTCCAAGACGGACCTCTCCAGGTCGCCTGCGCTAACACGAATTCCGACCATGTCTTTAGCCGCATGTGGGGTGCCTAGCGGCCTGGGTCACAACATAAACTGCTGCGCAACTCCATCACGTTCGTCCATGGCAAAATCAAAGAGGGCAAATGAGCGCAACGCGGCAAAGCCAATCCCAAACCAGCCCCAAACCTCGCTTCACCATATCCCCAACGAAAGCCTAAAGCCCCCACTGAAGCAGCCGCACATCCACAGCTCCAGTTCAAGTCCAAACCCCAAACTCAACCCTAAGCCAACAGCAGAAGCTGCGATATCAGCTTTTACAGAGCCTAAATGAACCCCAAAGCAACTCAAGACCCGCCCCTGAGATCTAAGCCAACAAGAAACTCAACCTATTGAAACCAGCCCCGCGCACGTCCCAACTGCCACCAATTCAGAGCCAATAGACAGCCCTAGGTCCAGCGGCCAAGCAACAGCCAGCCAGCCAGCCCGCCCGCCAGCCAGCCAGCCAGCCAACCAACAACCACCAACCCACCAACCCACACACCCACCCACATCCAACCCACCAACCCACCTGCCCACCTTTCCACCCACCAAGCCGCCAAGCCACCAAGCCGCGAAGCCACCAAGCCGCAAAGCCACCTCCAAACAAAACGCCCACACACGTCGAACATGTCCAGCTGAGCTGAATCTGAGCAGTTTCAGTTGGAGGAAAGGATAGTCAACCCAACTCCGTGACCGTATCGTATCAAGTTCTGACAGATCCTAGATCATTGCAGTTGTTTACTAAAATTGTATCTCGTGGGTTAAGCTGGTGATCTTAGCCTCGCTAATGTCTCCGTCCCAAAACAACCAACTCACATTCGGGCCTCCCCCAAATGGATGTGCTGCCTGCGCCGCCGCCTTCCCCCCCCAACAAAAAACAAACAGCTCGCATGATGCACCCTCGCGGCATTCCTATCCCCGCACGCGCCTGCAAATGCCGACCCCAAATCACCGCGCGGTTGGTGGCATAGCTGATGCGCGCCACAGGCTCTTCGCTCTCATTGCCTCGCGGACTCACGGCTCGACTTGGATGGTAAATCTAGGCACGTAAACGAGGAATCTGCTCTGTGAGGTGAGCCGATCAGTCAATCAGTCAAACAGGCAGGAAACGCAGGCAAGGCAGCCAGGCACACAACCAGCCAGCCAGGAACACAGCATTGGCCAGTCAGTGCTCAAAAGGTTCAGCTACAGGAAAGCAGTCTAAACATTACAATTGTGTGAGCAATCTCCAGAAATGCATGTTTTTTCAGGTCTACTAAAGACAAGCGCTGGGTGGCTTCAAAGACTTCGGCACCAGGGCGGGAAAGTCGTTTGTGATGAAAGCGAACCAGAGGGGACCAACCTACCCTTGCGGTTTGGCCGTCTTTTCGAAGCGGCTTGGAGCAACCCTGACGCACATTTGATTGTCAGCTTCTGTCAGCTTCACTTGTAACATCCAGCTTCACATCGAAAGAAGCACCACGGTTGGCCTCGCTGGAAAAGAAAGAGCGCGTTGCTGGCGCTGCCGTTCCTGAGGTCTTTGCTTCCCAACTGCGCTGCCGCTCCCAACTTTCACCCGGCGCTGGGTTACATCCATGGGAAAACATGAGAAATATATGAATAAACACATTCTTGTTCTCCATTTGCTTAGGTCCCTTGGAAAACTGGCCAGTAGTGAAAAATGTCCCTTAAAACCAACCGGGGAAATAAACAGCATCTAGTCAAATGGAAGTTGTTGGTAGCTGGGATGGGAACTGACCTCTAGCCATGCCCAGAACCAAATCGCGGCTGTGTAGTTGGACAAGGGCCTTGGCCCACATTGAAACTGAGAACTGAGCAAGTGTACCCTGACCGGTTGTTTTGGACGCACAAGTTGTGGAACCTGTTTCTGAAATGGGAGAGACATGGAATCTGCAAATGCAATGCTTCCAACACCTGACAGAAGGGATTTCCATTCAAAGGACCTACATCATAGTGAGCTGGTTTTACCCCAAGTAAGATCGTCACAAAATAGGCAGGTTGAACATGACGGAACACCGAAAAGGAGGTGAGCAAGCTTTTTTTTTGGAGGGCACAAACTCCGTTTGGACATGTGCAGTCTCTGAGGCACCAGGCAGTGCAGAGCTAGGAACAAGCCACAGTAGAACGCTGACCTCAGGTGCTTCCTGCTGAACAGAAGCTACAGCTCTGATTTTACCAAACAACGCAGCTTCCTGCCCTAAACAAAACAACGCAATTTTAGGTGCCGCAAAGACTTGCCCAGTAATGTTCTCCTTTGCTCAGATATTCCATTTGACAAATGAACTGAAGCTGGGAACTGTGCCGCCGCGTCTTCGCTGAGCTCTGGCTGGTCTGCCTGGCGTGCGCACAAGTTGCGGCGGCCTGCGCCTCACGACTTTCTGATCGGCCCAATGAAACACGTCGTTGACAAGCACACATTGACCATCATTGAACAAAGGAGATAAGATAGATTCACCAATGCCAGTTTTTGTTCTTCTTCTTTTTTTTGTTTTGTGTTGCTTCGGCCAGCCCCGCCTTCTCACGGGCCAAGGCCGAGTTGTCGGCCTTCCAGACCTGGAAACATTCGAGAAGGACGGCGGTGAACCCAAATCCAGATACCAAAGTGCCAAAGTGGGCAACGGAATCTTTCGTCTAGGCATTCAATCAGTTGCCTTTGCCTTTGGTTACCTACACGGGTAGCTGGATCCTTGCATGCGTATTGGCAGTTAGCGCAAAGGCACAGGCACAAGGGCAAGCGCAACCAACACAGCGAGGGCATGTAGGGCACATGTCTCTCCCAATAAACATATCTTGCAAATTGACCGGCGCCAAAAAACCAACTGCTGGGTCGTCTCCTGAAATTGCTTCAAATGGCCGACAGCAGGGTTGGGCCAACATGGGCCAACCCCCTGTTTCAACATGCTTGAACATCTGTGCATAATTTAAACATTCTCCTTCAACTTCCCCCTTTACGGCGACAGCGGACCGGGGGTCAGTTGTTAAAGCACCATATGCGGGGATAGTCCAACATACGGCCCCATTTTTGGACCTTGGCGCCCGCCGTGTGTCACGTTGGAACGGCGAAAAGATTCCAAAACCAGGTTTTACATGTTCCCCCCTCAAACATCATCCGGCTAAAAAGACTGCCCACAGGTGACGTGTAAAACCACCGAACACACAAAACAATTTTGGGACTCCCGGACCCAACAAAAAATGGGCCACTCATTTTGCCAACGCACCCCCCCCATGTGCAGCCAATTCCAACAGCTTTGGGCGCTGAGGCCGCGGCCTTGATGCCACTCAGAGGGCCCACTGGCGTCAGAGTTGGCGCGAACCGAGCTGTGCCGTTCTTCTTGCTCGCGGACGGCTTAGGGTTTTAACAATTTTAAGCAGCCTGCAAATAACGCGAACAACATGACTCAAACTGATTGTTTGAAGAAGACATGTTGCCCCACCTACAATGGTGCTACACAATATGCAACATGGCAAAGCAGCCAACGAGACCAGGGCTGAAAACTCTTGTTTGCGGCTATGCATAGGACATGCGGGCAAGGGTGAAAACGCGCCAACCCCGGAAGTGCAGTGCATGAGAGGCATCCGGGCTGCGCGACCTGATCGGCGTCGAAAAACATGCCTCTTGTGGCCAGGGGGGACACTTGGTGGAAAGCCTCATCAAGCGGGCCAGCACCACAGACACCGGGCAGGGCGCTGCGCAGCGCATCAACCACCTGCCCCAGCAACGGTGACGCCAGACCTCAGAACCGGGTGTGGCAAATGCATCGTGCCAGTTTGTGTTTGCCTTTGTTTGACGCAAACACTTGTAGCCAAGCAGACAGCACATAAAACCATCCCGAACGAAACATGAACAACATCGTAACGTGATCATATTTCTGCAAGGAACACTGTTCATGGTTTCATGCTATAGAGTCTCCGAGCTTCAGCCCAAAGTCTGCGGGCCTGCCCAAGCAAATGGACACTTTCAGCTTGGTGCTTTTGTGTTGTGTACATCACTGTAACCAACATGCATCGCACCACAGCCTTTTGAGTCGCGGCTCAAACTCAAAGCATTGACGGAGATTACAGCGTTTGTGGACAGCGGCACGCAATGCCTGCGTGGAGCGCTTACGTGGAACGAGTGCTGCCAACAAACCCCGGAGTGGCAGGCTCGAGCACGAAGGGTTGGGGTTGTTTAACAACGCGCCAACACGAGTCACGAAGAAGTGACAAGGCCGCAGCGGCAAACGCCCCGGCTGTGGCCTTGGGAGTCAGGGCGGCTGCGGGAGGGGAGAGAAGAGGCGACTGGAGGCAAGAGGTTGCATGATCATGAGGCTCAGTGAAAGCGTGTGCACCCAGGCCTGCCAGTCCAAAACACATCGCACAAACTCTTCCTATGCATCGCCGGACAAACATGCGACACGCTTCGAGCGCTTGCTGGCATCACTGGATGACTTCACAGTTTCATTTCTGCATCCGAGCATCCATCTAAAACAAAGCATCACACGAAACATGGACAAATCAAAGGGTGCGTAGCAAACCACGTCTGCTGCGCTTCCGGGGCTCGCCTTGAAACTTCACATGCCCGCCCCAGCACCGCATTCTCAACATCGGAGTCTGACCTTACCGTAAGCCCTTCAAACAATTATGCAGCACTTTCCACTGGTCAAGCAACTCAAACAAACCACACCAATTGGAATCCCCAGGCTGTACCTCAGCGCTAGAAGCTGTCACTGTAAAGGTGGCTGAGCCAAAGGTAAGCCGCGGACAGCAACAATTCACTTCCCCCGTCCCGCAGTTTCAGCTCTCACCCAAAACCACTCCGAGACAATCCTAGCAAGGGCATCATTACGCGTCACGACATCGAGCCTTACCACAGCTGGAAACAAGTCTCCTTGCCTGGGGTGGCGCTTACGACTGTCTTGGGATCGTTTCTGATGTGTGTGCAGCCCGCGGGGAAATGTATTCCTTGACCTGTGATGTGGTAAAAAACAATGGAACCAAGGTATGTAACGAGGGGTGTGTAACTAGCCCGCAGGTCTTGTTGCGCAGGGTATGCAACTGGGTATGCAGCGAATGTCCGCTGCGGCTCTGTTGTATACTCCCCATATATACACATAGTTGTAATATGCACATAAGAGTTGTATCTTCGCATCATCTCAGGCACCAGTAAGAATTGAAGAGTGTCCGAGTTACATCCCGGGAACTGACATTCCTTGCAAATCATGGGCATGGGCCGATCTTCCCGTGCCAAAACAACACAAGCTGGAATTCAGGAGGGTACCTCCTGGTTTAACCCCAAACCGTTAAGCTTGTCATTTGTCCATCCTCGATGAGCGAAGGGCCATCCTCCATAAGTGCCAGCAGGTGATATCCCTTACCTGGCGCATCCATCCACATGAAAGAAGCAGGGGCTGGAGAGTTGTCCCAGCTCCACCCTCCCCCTCAAAGGCAAGCTGTGCACACGTGCAATATTTTTCCAAGTACAGACACTGCTGGATGATTTGAAGATGCGCTGAGTTGAGAATTCCCATTCCGAGGGAAAGCCCTGAGGGCCGCAATGTATTGTTCCGAGCTTGTTAACTCTGCCTCTTACTCGTGACCCAACCACCAAAGGGGCCATCGTTCTACGTCGCGACCCAAACTCCCTGAAACCCGCCCCTAAGGGCGCTCCTCAAGTAGCTCGCGCAAGGGTGCTATTTGGAACTGTCAGCTTCAAGCGAGGTGGTCTGAACTACTTACTCAAGAACAAAAGGCGACCTCACTTAACAGCATTGCCCAAGGTCCGCTAGTTTGCTTTGTCCCAAGGAGTCAAGAACGATCCAAGGAGCATTGCAGCATATCAATATGCATGATGAGGGTCGCATCCTGCTGGTCTCAGAAACAGTGACAAAGTCCTTGAAACGGCTGCCCCCTTGACGGGGTTCATGACTGAACATCGTTTCACCGAACAGCGCGTTCTGAGAGAGAAAAAAACAACAACAAGTCAATGTGAGTTGACCTAACAGGGAGTGACCTGGGCTCAAATCAGTCTCATCATTCTGAACACACAGGCTGGTCCCTCGTCTTTCGAATCGTAAGAAAGCATGCCAAAGAAAGTCGCAGGTGACCATGCGCTCTTCAGCTCTCTCTTTTTCAACGCCCTTCTGCGATGCTCGACGCTACCTGTTTGGACGGTCCACTTGGACGTCCGCGCCTTGGGGTCTGCAGCCTCTCATACGTGGTTGGAAGCCTTGGCCCACGAGACGTGGAGCGAGAATGAGCCGAATGAAACCGAAGAGATGACGCGGAGGTCGCGCGCGTGAGAGAGCTCTCACGCTGCCTCACGCTGGCGCCACAGTCATGCGTGGTGAACTTTTGGCAAAAGACCTGCGTGATTGGTTTCCCTTCGGGCAAAATGACGTCCTCTCTCAGCGGCCAAACATCCACATTGACATTAACCGCTTTGCCACTGCGCTCAGAATATGTCCTCAAGCAGTGTAGCCTGCGGTTGGTCAGTGATATCAATCTTCCACCGCAGTCTATGACATCCAACACCAAAGCTGGATCATCTGCCAAAATTTTCCTGCGCATCAAATCGGCCACAAGGCTATCTAACGGCTGTCCAGCATGTGCTGTCGCGCCGCCAAAACTTGAAGCCACACTGTCCTGTGAGTAGAATACATCTGACACTGCGACCCTCCGTCGCTGCGCCACTGAGGAACTTGGATGTGGACTTGACCGCAAGGTGATGCTGCTCTGGTGCACCGAGGCTCGCTTCACGCGAAGCACGACGACCTCCTCAGCCTGCCGTGAACAATCGCTGCTGTCATGATGCGCAGTAAAACCTCCCGGCACATAGAGATATGCACCACAAGATGCCAGGGTGGTGCTGCGGTAGACTTTGCAATGGCTTTCCACGAGCTTCCATTCGGCAGTGCCGGGTTTCCACATGTGGATTTTGGCAGCTGCTCGGTACGAGGAGGATGTCAGGACAAAGACACGTCCGCAGGATCCGAAGGTCAGACCCAGCACCTTAGGCCGCTGCTGCGCTTGCCTCCGGGACCCCATACCCGGATAGGGAAAGGCAGCCGCTGGTAAAGGAGGCGCGGATTCTTGAATGGTCCGTGAAGAGGAGGCGCCCATGCGGATGGACCAGCAAGAGGTGCCTGCCACCACGAACACCTTGTCGCCTTTGATCGCAGCTTTCACCGTCTCAGTCACAACTTCCTGCCTTGGCTGATCTGGCACCTGGACTTTCGCAAGCTCTTCCGAGAATACTCCTGTTTCCGCTGAAAAGAAGTGAAGAGTGATGAAGCAGCCCTCACCGCGAAATTGGCACACAATCACAGCCATATCTTCACCACTCTGAATGAAGGGGTTGAGGCCTCTTGCTGAACTACAAGCAAGCACCAAGAATCCAAGGAGGACATGTCATCCTTCACTAGACATCCTGCTTGTGTCAAAAGGCTTCCAACCAACCGTCATCCGTGAATTTGGCAATGGGCATGGTGATAGAGGAGTCACACAAAAGGTGTTGGAAGAGCCATCAAAAATAAAGAGCCTGCCTTGGCACCCCGCGGCAGACATAGTGTTGTTAGTTACAAAGCTGAATTTTTCGGGTATCAACTTTCGGGCTACGCCATCGGGCAGCGGCAGCGTAAATGACGACATGGTCCGTTTTCGGAAGTCATACAATTGTGCAGCACATTCATTCATCTGTTTAATATTCAGCAGTAAAACAGCCTCTCCTACGTCTATTACGAGTTGGTCTGTGGAACGTGATTGCGAGCCCAGATTGAGATCACTTCGCCAGCTTACTGGGGTGTCCTCATCTTCGACTGCGATGGTGCAGCTATGTTGTGAAAGACATTCTTGGCATTTCTTGGAGCCGCAAGTCTCACAGTAGTGCCAACCGCAACAGTGAGGTGCTGAACAATCTACACATTCCAGGGAGCACTTGGGGCAGCGCATTTCTTTACAGGTGGCACAGCTCCGACCTGATGCCATTGCACAAACTCTCCGACACTTGCATCTGAAAACACACCGTCCACACACCGATTTGTCGCTCCAACTGCAACTGCGGGTGCACACTGGGCACGTTGGACCGCCACAGTCTTGACATCGCTGCTTTGTGCACTGTCCACATTGTTGTGAATCACAAAATGTGCAGTTGCTGAAGCCGTGGTGATTTGCACAACTGGTGCACACAGGTTGGTCGATACGCTTGAAATGGAGGCAGTCTTTGTTGGCACAAAACGTCTGGCAATGAAAGCACAAATGTCGGTTGCAACTGCTGCACGTGTTCTTGCAAACACGGGCAAAAGCGAAAGCAGCTGACTCCCCATGCTGAGGCCCATCAACATACCATCAATGTCATCTCCACCCAAGCCAACCTCTTCATGATAAACTTGGCTCGCTTCTCCATCACATTGACAACAACGCGGCATGCGCCCCAGCTGTCGCAGCTGTTGCTCCCGCTCCTTGACTTCCACAGAGCGTGGGGAATTAAACATTCTGCGAGGAGTCGTGCAAAAAGCGCGGGGTAGTTTTACGTGGATGCCAACCGGGTCACAAACATGGAATCCACAAAATTGGTCACGTTTAATATGTAACCATCCCAAAAGGGAAGTCAATATGGGTCAACCAATTTGAGCACAGCTAAATGCCAAGGTCTCCCGAAGGAACAATGCTTCTTGCACCTCCGATTCCAGGCACTGAGACTGAGCCAAGAACATGCAAGGAAAAGCGGAATGTTCCGGATCATTTGATTGACTGGCAGGACTTGTCAGTTTCAGGTCAATTGACTGATGGATCGATATGAAACCAGTATGTAAGGGCTAAATATGAAGTCCACACCAACATGTAGTGTATATTCATTACCCTGCACAAAGGAACGACTTGTGCAACGTGGTGCATCATCTGACTGCATCTGAGTTTGGGACACCCTTTTTGATTTGTTTTGCAGGATAGCTAGACTCTAGACAAAACCCAAAGAGCGTCGACCAAAAAACGGAAACCAATTGCAAACTAGAGACATCACCCAAAATGAAAGGCACGTGGGAAGTCAGCCGCTCTTGGAGCAACCTCCTGTGTACCTGCTGTCAAGCATCGCAGGCGGCACGGGGATAGAAGTAGAAGGTGGATGCCTCGGTGAAAGACTTGCAACCCTGGGGGCGGCCAGGCTGCCATTTCAAATGCTGGGATGCTGGTGGGGTCAAATGGGGTGCAGGTAGGCGCTGAATCAGCCAAAAGAGGGAGCAACCAAATGATTGAACTCCATTTTCCAATTTGTTTGGAGTTTCTTCCCCGCTCAAAACAACATTGCAATACACATTTTGTTGGGGCCTAGTGAATTCCGGAGAGGGCTTGTGCCGGCCAAAGTAGGAGCGGTAAGAGGCCGTGGTAGCAAGTACCTTCGGTTACAGCTCAGCCCCCAAGTCGGCCTTTTTGGATGCTGCAAGAAGAGCCTAAATGTTGCGTTGAGCTCTTTCTGGTCATGTTGAAAGTTAAGGCCTCCACGTCGAACACTTTGCCAACGCTCCAAGCACGGGCAAGGATCAAATTTAAAGTTTATATGCAGTGGCATGCAAGGGTGCGTGGCAGACTGTGCAGCTCTTAAAGTGTTGTAAGCCTGCAAGCACCAATTGCTTCCAGCGTACCAAGCTATATGCAATCGGCAACGTCTAGTATGAGTCCAAATCCTGAAATAAGGGATCTCTAAGTACAGAACATACATCATGCTGAAATCGTTTTACCCCCCAGGTCAGCTCGCCACACATAATATGCAAATGCACTGCATGCACATCAAGGCCTGCTCTGCGCTTAAAGAGTTCTGCGAATCGCAATCCAAAAAATGAGCGGGGAACCAACACAAATCAAATGAACCCGCATTGGCGGAGGAATGCTAATTGATTCCCTAGATGGATCCTGCTTGTGACACGGATAAGAAGTTACCAGCTGCTGAAACTGAGGATGAAAGCGACACCTGCTCTGGGCTTGCTGGTGTTTCTTACCATCACACCGTTGCAGTATCCCAGTGTGCTGCAGTCTGCTCATATTCGATCTTGCTTTCTTTGACTATCGGGACAGCATCTCCCAGTTTGTGATGGGCCAATTGGTGCACCAATGGATTCAACACTGCAAGCTTGGAGCTTCGCGGCCGTGCCTAAACATGTGCCAACTCCGAAGAATAAAAACGCCAGCAGCTTGCTCCGGGGATAAATGCTTGGCGTTTGTCAACTTGCCTCTGCGCGGCAAACCACAAGGAGCCTATTGCCGCAGCAGTAAATCAGGAACAACCAGAATCTGCTCTGGACCCTTGGCTGGCGGTCAACCTGCCCGAAACAGTAAGAGCCACCGCAATTTGGACGACCGGAAAAATTAAAGAAGTGATTGATCCAAATTGGCGTCTTTTCTGGTCCAGGTTTCAAGGGAAACCAATCACAGCACCCTGTTTGGGGTTCCCTTAAAGACTCAAATGTTCATCATCCACGTTTCTTCTGGGGGGTCAACATCCAAAGGACTGGGACAAATGTGAGCCGGTAGGCAACGCATCTCGCCTGAAGGAAGCGCTTCAGCTTCTTCAAGGTGCCGTCCTTAGTGCACAACTGGGTCCCTGAAACTGGCTGCCTTCTGTGGGGTTCTCAAAATTACTTTTGGGGAGTTGTTTCCCAACGACCCTTTAGAGGCTAAAATTGTCTGGATGTCTTTTCTGTGGACCCAAAGCAAGGCTGAAACATTTCAAGACAAGTGGAGAGCCACGAGACAATATAGCCCCCAACCACTATCCCCGGTAAAAAATCACAACTACTATAAAGCAACTACAAAAGAGATATCCCGTGCCTTTCCCTGCGGGTAGCGGTTTGGACGTAGCAAAAACCATCTTAGATTGAACCAGTGGACGTAGTGGGAACCATCTTAGATTGAACCAGTGTCATGGCCAAACAATTGAGCGGCAACCAAAATTCTAAGGACAATGTGTCTTGTGCGCATTCAAGCCGCACAGCTTCCGCAGGTGCAAGCGTGGCACGAGGAGTTGCTTCCGGTATTCCATAGTATTCTTCGCTCATTGACAGGTCAGCAAGGTGAGATCAGGGCTTTTACTTCAGATGCTCAACTCATCTGGGCAACTTACGGTGAAATAGGGGACCTCTAGTGAAGGGAACTTTCACTATAAATAGAACAGCCGGACAAACTGTTGCGTGCACAGCAACTTGGTGCGGGGTTGGTAACTGATCGGTCTCCCTTACGAATTCCACACCTCCCCCTCCCGCCCGCCAAACAAATATATCCTCCTCCTGCTTGCCAAAAACAATGCTGCGCGTCGGTTGATACAGTGTGGATTCTTTGGACCCTCGTGACCCTTTCTCTAGCTCTCATGGGAACAGGGTTCCAACAAGCAAGTCTAGCAATCAACACGTGACTCTTTAACTGAATTAACTTCACTCTTTGACACATTAGGGAAGCCCCTGGAGTCCCAACCGTCAGGTCTTCCTGATCGGCTGCCAGTCTGTTCGAACTTTAGTATCCCTCAGCTACATTGGATTCACAGCCATCCCTTGGTTCCGAACATAGGCCAGATCCATCCACATGGTGCAATGGATCGGCCGGCCATGGCAGCCACAGCGTCCGCCAGAAACTTGTCGCTCACCGCCCGGCCGGCACTGCGAAAGCTGTCCTGCCGTCTCTAAGTTCTGGAGTCACGATCAACACTTGGTACTAAAGTGGTCCACACAAAAACAATGAGAATCAAGAGGGCGGCCGCATCTAATTCTGGCTGGGACCATCCTTTGCTGGCCTTCACATGCCTCGGTTTTGACAACGTCCTGAGGCATAGCCAGGCACGCATGTCTGAGGGATCAGCCACAATAGCTTCTTGGCGCAATAATCAAAGCTAAATGACAAAATAAATGCAAATTTGCGACAATACGCCGCTCATCAACGAAAGACCTCAAGGCCTCCGCTTGAAGACCCGGGTTCAACCGAAATCTCCGGTCCTCGAGGCCCTGAAGGGCAGCTGGCTTGGCCCGCAGTATCCTGGCACTTTGACTTCACGCTGAACGGTCTGCTTGTAAGTGGGATTATAATCCTAGCTCCTAAATGGGGGTCACCCGATTTATAAATCTATAACCCTATTGATCACCCGCAGGGCTTCAAAACCCGACTTGAAACCGTTCAGCGGCCAAGCAGTGCAAGTCCGTTTGGAAGTCGCTCGCCAGGAGGGAGGATTCGCAGTTGTCATTGAACATGCTAAGCACAATCAGAAATAATGAGGTGCGGTCAGCTTGCGGTGCGGGATATGGCGAAACATGACCGTGCTCTGCATTTCGAGCTTCCCGCTTCATGTATCAGGCAGGATCTCTCAAACGATCTGGGAGTGACACCCAAGGCAACAACCCCAAAGGGCAGGCTGCATGCTACGTGGTCGGTCGTGAGCTCCTTGCAGGGGCCTGCCTCCGTATCTGAAGCAAAGCATGTATACATTGATGCAGGCCGAATCCCGCGAACAATCCTAAACCCTAAAAGCGATTGAGGTGGCTCCGCCTGCATTTGTGAGGCTCAACCCACGTGCCCTACCTAAAAGTTACGTTAGTTGAACTATTATGAACATCACAACCACATGTACCATGTCGAAATGCCCGATGCTTACCAGCTAGAAAAGAGCTTCATCGTGATCAAACGACGTCAGATCCAATGCTTGAGTCATGGAAAGCTTTGGAATGCAACATGTTTCCGGGATCAATATCTTGTTTGCCAGATGATCGCGACCAGCTGAGTCCTTTTGTGCTCCTACCCACAAACAACCGAACACTCGGCCTACCTTGCACATCTACGAGGAAAAGAAACCCTAGATAACTCACAGCCAAACAAACCACCAATGGACAAACACCTGACACACTACTATGGAACAAACTATACAAGCCATGAAAGGCACCGTGGCTCAGGTAGGCCCTTGCAAGTCATCCAGCTGCGACGGACTATGAAACCACCGGCCCAATAATCTGACTACGGAACTCAGGCAAGGAACAAAGTGCGCCCCGGTTGAACAACATCAATGCTGGACCTCCACTTAACAACCTCAAACTTCAAACACAACTTTCTGAACTCCCAATCAACTTGCAAGCAGTTGTCTATGCCAAGCCCCGACACGCATGCCCTGCCTTGCTGGCGTCTCTTTGCCAGCAGGGTCCCAGTAGACCTGGGGCCATGTTAGAAGTCTTCCAACAGTGAGCTTGCCACAGGGACCTGGAACCTTTTGAGACAAGAACTGGACATGGATCAACATGGAAATCAAAAATGGAAATTCTCCTGATGTTGCAAAACAACGTGTTGCGCATGACTGGTACTTTGGTACACACCCCACATTCAGACTTCACGCGGGGGCAGGTCTTTTGCTCCTCTTGCGACTGAAATCAAGGCCCCACAAAACCAAACACACACACACACACAAACACGGGTAGAAAGCCTGCCAAATTGGTGCGGCCTTTAGTTAGGCATTGCAAAGCATTGCAACCTCAGGAGCAGGCGATTGGTATAAACTGTCATTGCTGACCAAATAGTTTTGGTCAAAACATGGTAGCGCCGCCTGTAGCACGCCAATGCTTTTGTGCGCTTTTCACCGCCTTCCCGACTCCTGCGACCCAGTATGTTGAAAAGACGGTGGGGGTTGTGAGTTGCATTGTGTAGATGCTCCTGAAACCTGAAAGAACGGCTTGCGCCCAACTTGTCTTGGCAGCTCTCTCCGAATATCTCCGACACATCCTTGGCTTTGCCCCAAAACAGGTCGTGCCCCTACAACATTTCAGGGCTTACTTGTTTCCTCCTTTGGACGCCCTTCAAACAGAACAGGATGCTCCCCGGTGGCGACTTCTGCTTGGTATGGCTGCTTTACCTTCCCAAGCAAATGGTGCTGCACCAGTTCAAGTTCTGGCTGGACTTCATATGCTGCTCGATGGGGCGCTTTGAGGTCGCAGCGGCTTTGTTGTTGGCCTTGGCGCATGCCAGTCACTGAATCCAGTCGTTCAGTCCAATGTTTGGTCATATGTTTTCCTACATACTACCATGAACAGCAACTGCCGAGACCTGCATGTTGAGCCAAAGCTAAAGCATCTCGAAGAACCAGTCCGTTGCATATGCCCGTCTGCTGGTGCCGCTGCCTTCTTCAGACCTCCCAACGTTGCAAACAACAACAAGCACACGAGGAAGATAATGAGCAGATTTCAATGCGTTTCCTTGAACAGCGTTTGGCACAAGATTGTCCACCAATAAAAATGCAAGCTGTGTTGCTGGTGAAACTGCAAGTTGTGTATTTGCCCAGTTGGGAGAGTATGGAGTGTGACACAAACGTTTGCTGAGACGTTCAAGCATCATCAGCATTTCAAGTCCGAGGGCAACTCTAAACACTTAATAGTGAAGCGTGCACACCATGCACCAGGGTGGAGCCGTCATGTGTGATCAACTGAGTTCAAACCAAGCCTGGCTACATCCTTTAAACCTATCAGAGCCAACTGAGCTGTTCGCAAGGAGTTCTGTTGTGGTTTGCGTGCGCGGATGGCGAGATCCCTGTGCTGTCCGACTCGCCTGCTGCCACAGCTTTCTGTCGTCCGTCTGCTCCTTGAAGGCCAACTCAAAGACCTGACATTTTCAACATCGGCAAATGTAGGAACAGGAAACCGCGTGTTGAACCCTTCAGGGCCCATTTCAGGTTACAACACGAGCGCACACGCACACACGCACATACCCGTCTGCCTTGTCCGGGTTGTCGTGCTTTTGCCGCGCAGACTGGAAAACACCTGTCGGAGTGATTGCAATCCACGCAAAACTGCAATACGCAGCCATGACTATCCCGAAAACAACCCCCCCGAAGGAGAAAGCTCATCAACAACGATCATGCAAAGACACAGTTACAATCGTTGGTCAATCCATAGACTTGCGTTGCCAAAGTGACTTAACGGTGAATGCAAAAACACTGGGGCAAATGCTTCATTTGTTGATGTTGCTCTTCTGGACCCAAGCGCAGCTTAAAAGGGGCTGCGGAAAGACATGGCAAAGTGCTGTAACCTTATGATTGGTATTGGTGTGCTTCCTCCTTACGCAGTTTCAGTTTCAGCTGCTGTAAGTCTACCTAGCTTCCTGCAAGCAATTTTTCAGTGGTCCGGCAGTCTTCCCTTAGGCCTGGAGTTTCCCGTACCTATTGTCTGCCAGAAGTTGTCCCATAGTCTTGCAGTGTCCCTAGTCCAGTACTCCCGTCTTCGTCCATTGACATGCCAGGTCCTACCTCACGTGACGAACAGGCGCGTTGCTGTTTCCCTCTCAAGTGGAAGTAAGTTTTCGACTCCAGAAGATCGCCTGAACTATACAAACAGGTTCACGGCCAAAGAAACAACATGACACAACAGGGTCACAAACAAGCTTTCAAGGCATTCGCCCACATGGCTCCGCATGCCCGCACGCGGCTCACACGGCACCTCTGAAGAGTTTCTTGACCTCGGGCTTGACCTTGCCCTCCTGGAGCAGCAAGTTGAAATGCGACAAACTCGCTGGGATCTTTCCTTTGGAATGGTTTGGGAAAGAAAACAGTAGGGGCAACTGAGCCAAGGTGCTTTCGCGCACTCTGTCAATATGATCATGCTGGGCATGTCTACTTGTCCAGAGCAATATATTTCGTGCCAATGTTCAGTACCTTGTAGACAGATCGATCGCATTTGCACTGTTTGCTCAAATTATGCAAAGAACTCCCTATGACAACGGGCACTCATGCCATTCCAAGCAAAGTCTCTGCAATTCCCCATCCAAACTTGTACTATAGTTATATAATATAAGTCTAACATCACATCTTTCACTACGCCGCTCTGGCTAGAAACTGGCATCTGCGCCGGGCAACAGCTCATAAAACCAAATCTAATGAGTCTGTTTAGACCCGCCCTGTGCCAGCATTGTACTCCATCCGTTTCCGGTGAAAGCAAAACCACCTGCCGGCCAAAGTTCAGGGACACCACTGCCAAAGACCCCCGTCAACAGTTTCGGCCTGTTCTGCCGACCATAGCAACCCTCAACCGGTGGGGGGTCTTCGGGTGGTGAATCAACAGCCCGGCCTGCTCCAGCCAAGTGAACATCTCTGCATCATGGCGCAACTTCCGGAGCCTCGGAAAGCACAGACAGTGGCTTCGCGTGAGCCTAACCCCAAACATGGGAGTCCTAGGTCTGGGCACTTAAAGCAGTTTTGGGGGGGTTTCTCCAAATTGCCGCGGGGTTGATATTCGCCAAGTCGGGAGCCTGGGTTAAGTCCATCCTGGGGTAATCAGCAAATGGCACCTTGCAATCAGCATGTCGTGCACATGGCGGAGCCCACGCACGAGATGAGCAGCTTACCGGCTGAGCTAACTGCTGGCCACCGCGATTTGGGGTTGCTTAAGCAATGAAGCTGGCAGGCTGAACTAGTAACAGGCCACTTGTTTGTCTCACTTCACAAAGCTAGACCTGCAGACCATGCACTGCTAGATGATAAAGATACTCTCGCGTCATGCATTACTTGGGGCTATCTCAAAACAAGCTAACGTAGCATGAAATGGAACATCACAGGAAGCCAATCCTGAGAGTTTGTCACACAGGAACGTCTGAAGTTGTTTGAGGCAGGTCAAGTTTACTTGTAAGCAGTCCGACACTTCATCGACTTGGCTGCGTGAAATTATGTCGCCCAGTTCGGACAACATGATCAAGGCCAGCTGGTCCGCTAATAATTGGCTGGAAGGCGAGTCACGGCTTACATCCCCCTTGGCTGCTTAAGGCTGCCGCGTGGTGTGCCAGTCTCCAGCGCGTCGACCTTACACGCCCAAGAAGGGACAATTTGAAGGGAATTTATGATTATTCTCGCTACTTGGCGGGACTTGCGACAGCGCAAAGACATGCACATTGTAAGTTTTGTCAGTTGAGGATGAAGGGATGAAAAGGCGAAAACACACACAAGTGCACTTCTAACCCGATGTCTGTCCGGGAGTGCTGATTCTCCGGCCACACAAGCAACTACATGAACAAGTCGGCCAAGTCCAGTGGTGCTTGCATTGTTTTGCCAGGCCATTCCTCGAAGTCCCTCCTCTCAACGGCTGGCTCACAAGTGTAAACCGTGTGATCATGTATCAATTTAAAGGTCAGGCATCATGCAAAACACAGAGTATTTCCAAAAGAATCTGAAACATTCGTGAAGCGTCAGGAACATTCGGCTAATTGCTGGACCTGTGAAGCAAAGACAGCCGCTGGAGCCCATCCCCAATGCTGCCTGACAAAGCCCTGCCCCTGCTTACATCCCGATATACACCAGCAATTCCCAAAACGGCGGGCTGATTGAGTGTATGAGTGCTGGCTTTGGCGCCACTGGAAATAAGTGGCCCAGCACGTCCATGTCCGAGTTTTCTTTGGGCGGAACTTGTTTACTAGTAAAACTTGGGCTCGACCTGGCTGTCCATTTTTGCTCAAGCTGCCAAACACCGGCTTTCATACTTATATAGCATCCCCCCTTCCCCCCCCTCCCCCCGTCATCTACCCTCTCCACAAAAGAAGCCAAAGTGCCCCCCCCCCCCCCACTTTTGCACCCAAAAGGAGCAGGGTTTCTGTGGCCCCTCCCTCCACCCTACTGCAAGTATAGCCCGCTCTTTAGTTTTAGGGTAAGAGTTGTATACCAAAAAGCATTGGGTATGAGTTTCACACCCCCCTAAACGACTTTTGTTTCCCCATTATGTAATGCAATTTTAAACGAGGGTGTGAGGAGGGTGGTTGCGGGCGGGATTGTTCGTGAAAACACAAGGAGAACCAAGCTAAATACCGGAAGCCCTGTGCGAACTCCACAAGCACCCCGAGCGAACACCGTGAGAACCTGAACACTGAATACCTTGAATAGCCCGTGAGAACTCCGTGAAAACACCCTGAAAACCCCGTGGACACACCGTGAAAACCCAGTGAAAACCCACTGAACAACCATTCTTTACCTGGTCAATATATTCATAGCCAACTCCATTTCAAACACCAATTCAATGATTTTGGCCAGCTACAGGTGTGACAGCCGCAATACGCGTGTTTGTGCAAGCAGCCTATTTCAGCTGCTTTTGGGTGCCAATGAAGATGTTCGCACATTAGTTCTGACAGCATACGCGCAATGTGATCTGGCCTAAGCCATACGCTGGTTGGCTTATGTTCTAAATCTCAGGCGTGAACATTCCTTTAATCATGAAGATGGAATCAGACAGATAGAATGAATGAGCCGAAGATGGATGGACCGTTCAACATGTTTCTTGGCTGGAAGGAAATGATGGCTGAATTGAATTTGCTATCGGAGTCGGCACTAAACAATTGCAAGGACGGTGCAGCGTGAAAGTCGTGGGCTGCTGGTATGTGCAACACATTTCCACTGCCCAATTTTCAAGAGTGAAATTTGGGTCGCCCATTTAACACTGAAAACTTAGTCTTTGGAAGTATTGGGTGGCTGCCACGCGCTTCCAGCAAAATCAGAGCACGTAAGCCTTCTGGTTCGTCAAAATTACAAAGACATTCAACAACACACAACACCGCTCCAACTACACAAATATGTTCGAACATTCCAACGAGTACAAACGTATTCCAAAAAAGAAAACATACCAATCAATACACACGAATACAACAATCAGACACATGCAACTTTACAATCCATAGCATTTAATCTAATACAAATTCATTCGAACTCATACGAACATGTTCGACCACATACACGACTAGAATCGGTTGCTCCCTGGTTGATTGCTTTCTCAGGGGTGACCTCTGCGAATCATGAATGAGCAAGCTACCCATAGTTAGCAAGTTTTGCTAAAAGGACCCCGAAAAAACACATCTGATGAAGAGATCAATTGAATCGAGCTTGGGCTGCATCCCAGAATTCTTGCGGGAGCCGCCGGATGCATAGTGGACAGCTCACCTTTGGAAGCCACGTTTCGAAACCAAGCAGAACGAACACAGCAAAGCAAAATATTCCAACGGCCGGCTCCAGCTGCCGAGCTCATAGCACTGCATGGCATCCAAACCAACCACTTTGGGATTCAAGACTTGTCTCGTTCTCAAATGCTCAGCACTCAGATGACGCTGAACGACTGGGCTGCTGGTTCTTTGGTTTGCCAAACAAAAGCGGTCCCAACAAGAATCTGTCCCCGCCCCCCTCCCTCTCTCCCCCTTTTCCAGAATATTATCTGCGCGCTCCCCGGTTCTTCTGCTAACAAAGGAATCCCCACTGACATGAAGCCCTCCTAATCACCCAGCCCTGTCTTATGATGTCTTATGGTCACTGCGGATGGCATGCCTGGCTGAGGAGTTCAAGGTCTTTGGGAAACCGGAAGAGGATCATTGCTGTTCCAGGTCTTCGGCATCCCCTGGCTGCGCTTCCGAGCCGCCGGCCAGGCTCCCGAGCCTCCCAGAAGTGGCCTGCAACGGAAAAACCCGGCGGCTGGGTGCGTGCCGGCAAGAGTAAACCCGCCGAACTCCCGTTAAAACAACCTGAAAAAGGCAGTCGCAACAAAAAACGCTCAACAATTCTACCAACTGCTTCGGCAATATAAGAAAGTATCCAGCACGTCAAAACCTTGAAACGGAAAAAAGAAAACCAACTCACTGGCTGACAATACGCACTAGTCAAACCGTCCACCCAACTACCACCGGGATACTGTGGCTTGCATAAAGCGTAAAGCAAGTTCACCAGCTACACAACACTGGCAGGGGGAACCCACCCTTTCCGAATTGGGTAAACGATTTCACTCTTTAGGCTTCGAGTGGCTACTTGCTAAAGTATGTTGCCTAGACGGCGAGGAATTGACGGATGGATTTCGCTGTTTTCCCACTAAGGATTGAAGTTGTTCCGCTTTGTCCCGAATGTTGGTGAGTTGAGGTTTGTTCAACGCTTGCAGGTAGATGACCAAGGCTGATTCATTTAGCTCTCAAGAGTTGGGTTTGTGAAGTGGCTTGGTCAGATCCTGTCAGATTATGGCCCACCCGTAGAGGGGGGTGGAGGGGGAGGGGGGTGAATTTTCACAGCAAGACAGCTGGCAAGGAGACACGCCCCAAGTTCAGCCCAAAGCCTAAGCAACCTCAAGCAACTGAGCGAACACCCATCAACTGGACGGGCTGCACATATCCATCAAGACCCAAACAAGCAAACAGAGCACACACCATAACAAGGCAAGTCAAAAGCAGAACAGCCACATCCCAGAAGCAATCAGCTCAATCTTGTTGGTGCGGCACAGAAGCAGTGCACTGACAAATGAGTCTGAGCCAGTTGAGCGTCTCTACAAGTACGGTCCGCTAACATAGCTCGACAGTCAAGGCCGATCTCCAAATAACTCGGCATGATACAGAGACACGTTGGACATTAGCAGGACTTTGACCAGGAGGAGAGAACAAGGGGCAGTGTGATTGGCGAACTACCCAGCGTTTTATAAGACTCTTCTTGGGGTGGGGCTCCCAATCACCAAATGAAGAAGGGGGCTTGCTCGAACCTCTCCCCCAAGGGTGGCCTGCAGAATAGCTATCCACAGAATTGGGGGCTTGGGGGACCACAGGTTTCTATCCATTCTGCCCTGCACCAGCTGACATGTTGATCGCCCTCACTTAATGCAAGCCCCGTGATTCTCACACGGGTAGCGGAAGAACCCGGCCGGGAACACCTACCCACATTTCGAGTCACATTGATGTCGGCCAGCAAAATCTGAATATACATCATGCGAAGAAAAATGGAATCTCTGACTCCGGTAATTCGGCCAAATTCGACTCAGTGGCCACTCACCCGGTAATGGGGGCAAGGTGGTGCGGGTGGATTGGACTTGCGTTGGCCACTTGACTCATTGCCAGACTCATTCCAATCTTTCTTCTACCACTTGTCCTCTCACCCGGCCTTCAAGGCATCGCATGGCGGCAGCAGTTCTATTGTTCTCCAACTTCTCTCGACCTTAACGCTGGATCAAGCAAGAACTGAGACTTGCCAAAATCACGCACCGGTCGTGGCTCTTGTTTGTCAGGCGCACATTTCGGGGTTGGCAAACGACACATGCGGTGCTTTTGGTTTTTGATGACCTTGGTCAGAACCCCCGCGTAACCCCACGTGCTCCTTGATTCTTCAAGTCCTTGGCCATAAATACTAATTCAACAGCACCCATATATGAGCACATGAGAATTGCTGAGATTTTGTGGGCAAAGGCCCCAGTGGTGCATGCCAGCTCGTGACCCCCACCAAAACAAGTTTTGTGGGGCAGCGGTCTCTCGTCCCTCTGCATGTGCTCCATTTACCTCTGCTGCTGCCGGAGGCCGGGGCATTCCGGCTCGATGCTGTCCCACGCACGCCCTGCCGCCCCTGGGCAAAGAGACCGAACATGGGAACGAGGAGACACTAGGATCTATTCAATCAGACCCGTAAATTCGACATGCTGCCCAAGCAAGAACCACAAGTGCCTGTCCAACTACGATCTGAATACATTTGTGATGGATATTGGCTTGTCTCCAAATGTGCAAGCCGCAAACGACTGGTTTCCCTTTGTTTGCACAACTCCGCACCACTTGAAGCTTGCACAACATGTGTAAGTCTTTTTGGGGGGCCAATGTTCAACACATGCGTTGAAAGGAGACGCATTTCAAGAGCACAAAACTCATTATCACGAACCAAAATCAAGATTGTTCAGAACTTGTCCCACATGTCGGCCCAGGCTTCCCAACCCACACACTTTGAAGTGCTCGGTCCCCAAGTTTTCAATTGGAAAACTTTTGGGAACCGCGGGAAAACTTTTGGGAACCGCGGTTTGCTGGAAAGAATCTTAGAGCGATATGGCTCTTGGTTCTTGGTGCGCAAAGGCCTTCAAAGCACGTAGGAGGAGGGTAGCACACACACACACATATCACACATAAATCTATAATTCGTATTTATGTATATATGCATACACATTTATAGAAGTGTTTTGTTCTATACACATATGTATATATATGTATTACCTACATTACACATAGTATGCTCGTGAAACAAGTCTCTCTCGCAAAACATCATCTGCCATATCCAATTATATCCAAAAGGTCAACGCAACGTTTGATCCAACATATGATGCCTGATTCTATGCCGTGTTGCTTGCGCCTATTAACGAAATAGTCGGTGTCAGCGATGGCTGCTCTTACCGATTGCAATATCCCACGCACCGACTGGCGCAGTTGCAAAGGACACTTCTCAATCTAGTACTTCAGTTCTTGATCCTCCAAACAACTAATCATCTCCAACAACCTTGGAAAGGATACATTGCCGAACCATGCGTTTTGCCGAACCGTTGGCCGAAGCATGCATTTGGGATGAGCCACATGGTCTCTGGCCCTGGCTGAAATCTGGGGTACACGTGTTCAGATTGTAAATCTTGGTCAAATCTAAAATAAATTAGCTTTGGAACCCCTGTGGCTTCCTTTCGTATTTCTATTCTAAAGCGGGGCTCATTGCCAGAGCCTTTCCCTTGGGCTCCTTGCTCTCACAGGACCCCAGACCCTGCCTTTCTTCGTGCTGGCCTCGCATAGTGCGCCCGGTGTGGCTAGCCAACGAGCGCCAAATCGATGAGAACTAGGACTGCCCTTCCCTCCGCCAGCCCTCTTGGGATGAACATGGGACGACTTTGTACCCCACAATTCGATCCACTGACCACCAAAGGGAAACGAACCGCCAAACTCAAGCATGTAATGCCCCGTGGTCGCCCGCAAGTACTGGCCGCACCAAACACGCTGAAAATGTGCCCAACTTGTCACCTGCTCTTCTCTTGTCCTTATGATTTGTACCTGGTTGAATTCGGGCGTGCAGTGGCTGACCCGAAACGTGCCAGTGAGGCGAAGGCCGTCTTCCGGGGATCGAGCCAGGTCAGACAGAGAGGCTGGTGAGCTGACATGGGCTGGCTTTTAGATCGGTTGGGCCTAGAATCAATGACTAGAGGCTAGATGACCAACCCTGGTAACTTTCGCGGGTTTATAGTATACTATACCTATTGCCCCCCTCTCACCACTGAATGATTGCGCCTGCAATGGACAATTTCTCTGAAATCCCTTGAAATTGGAAGCCAAAAGGATGCAACCAAACTTCTGCGTTACTTCAGCCACCTGGGGCTCTCGACGGAGCATGCCGTTGTGGCTGCCGCGAGCGGAAGAAGTGCCTCAACGCCCATCGCGAACTGCGATTTCCGGTGGTGCGTCTTGACCAGTTTTGACAAAGGGGCCCCAGGACCCGTCAAAATGCGGATGTCAGCATGCTTCCCAACCTAAGGTGCTGCTGACATAGAGCTAACTAGTCCTAAGCTTGCAACACCAGGCTATGTAAACCATGAGGTATGTATTGATTCGGGGTTGGAATAGCTGCCATTCGCACAGACGGATTCACATACCGACACACACACACATACATGTGGCAGCTGGTAGGCTACCGCTCAAAGGTAAAGCTGGCACAGGTTCCAGCCATGACGACAACCACTGGATATGTTGTAAGACAGAAGTGCGAAAACACAAGGCGAAGCATCGGATGGAGATGTCCACGGCCCCAAGCGGGTAGATCCCTTCAGTTGATCCTCCGTGACTCAGACTTGCTGTAGCCTGCTCCCTTACCACTTTCGGATAGGAGTTTTTAAATATCCAATTTAGGTTTAATCATGATTCAAGGATTGCCAGATGATGGCGTCAAATCACGTAAACACACAGGGAATGTGCAAGCTGTGTTCGGAAAGCTCGAAAACTCGCAAGACTATGGGAGCTTCCAGTGATTGAAGCATACGTCGACATGTTGGATACAACTTTGTACAAACCATCATACAAAAATCTATCACACGTCCAGATTGGTTTCGCTGCAATAATCAATCATCAGTCTAGATCGAGTTCTCTGTGAACACATTCTGTTCAGCTCGGCGTCTAAACAAGGATCATAGGACAAGAAACAAGAGAGAGAGGGAGAGAGCGAGGGGAAACAAAAAGAGAGAGAAGCAAAACACGGAAAGACGGAACAACAGACATGATACACGTAAACAAAAACAATTTGAGGACAAATAAATACAAAACACAGAAAGACGGAAAGAAGGAAGGAAGGAACAAACAAAAAAAAGACACACACACACAAAGAGATAAATAAAGCAACAAAGCAAGAACTAAAGCGATACACTGATTACAACATGATACACGAATAAACAATTGCACAAATAAAGAATAAACAATAATACAAAAATAACTATATAACACCATAACGGCTGAAAACAACACAAGCACGGAAGAAAGCAATACCGAAATAAATAAGTAAGAACATCTATAAGGACATAAAGGAAACACACGATACGCAAATGAATAAGGAAATAACCCAACACATAAAGCAAGACACATGGTTGTAGCGAACAATACATACACACTGAAATGCATTCATAAACAAACAGAACAGACTACGCTTGACGGAAGAAATCCTGCGCCTCAGGGTGTGACCTCGCTCTCAGTTCAATGCTGAACAGTGACGGATGAGGATGGTGCGGGATCTTTGCTAATTGAGCGGTTTGGCGAGCGATCTTTCGAAGAACCTATCTTAAGTTGGGAGAGCGGGGCGTAACGATAATGTTCTTATTTAGGTGGTGCAGATCTCTTCCCTCAATAGTAGTACATACAGAAAGACAGAACACAAAAGCGGTAAATCAATGTATATATATATACATACATAGAACAAAATGTATACATTGTAATAAATATATATACATATATCTACAAACAGTAGACAGACACAAAGAAATGGACAGAGCAAGCGAGGGGGAAAGAGAGAGGGAGAGAGAGACAGGGAAACAAGCAGCAGACAGAGGGAGAGAGTGGGGGAGAGGGATTGAACGAGAGAGAGTGAGAGCAAAAGAAACGAGAGCGAATAAAGAGAGGGAGAGGGAGAAGGAAACATCAATTCGCTCGTTACTTTGAAATGGCCCTCATCAAGACTGAAAGGACCAACAGGATGAATCCCGCTATATCTGAAGGTCTAACCTAATAATTCGACTGCTTGCCGCTCTTTGATTGATCAGGGGTCAGTGTGAAAAACACACACGAAGCCCGACACACCGCTGGGCTGCATGCCAGAATGGGCAGGAGGCGCGTGGCCATCGCAAATGGTATCCAAAAACGACGCGGCGCAACTTGCTTGCTTGATTTGAATTAAGGGCTATTCCCATTCGACCCAGCAACGGTAGACTGGCAGATTGCTGTAAATGTGCCTTTGGATCTTGGTCAACTTGTTGAACAGCTATGTAAGGCAGTCTTGGCTTGTGTGAGACTGCGGAAGCAAATCGCCGAGCAGTACATCACAGCCTGCAAGCTACATCGGGGAACACAGAACCAGCAGGTCGTCACCCATATTCCGGAACACTCCTCACTGTCGTGGTCAATGCTTGTAATGCGCGGACAAAGATGCATTCAAATTACCAAGTGGCTTTCCGTGGGACCCGGAGTCGGGCCTGGGTCATCTGCACTTTACACCAATTGCCCAGCTGCAAGCTAAGGACCCCCCGCCAGACAGGACCTTCATCATGGTCAAGCTCGGTTTATCCCAGGTTCAGTTTGTCTTGGTTTGCCCAAACAAATGTTGCAACCAAGCCCTGTCCCAGTGCCCTCGCTCTCCTTTGAGCCGAAGCTTGCGCGTACTGCCGAGCCAGCCCCCCGGACTTCCGCACCCTCGGGTGACCCCAAACCTGGTCTTGCTTTCAACCCGCGACTTCTCCACGCAAAACATCTATCCTCCTTAGACTTAGGCTTGTCATGTTGTTTCATTCCAGTCAAAAACCACCTGGCCTTGAGTGACACATACACTTGAGGGAACTGATTTGATCGTGTGTCCAAATAAGAAGTCCCAGTCCTCGCTTTGAGTCGGTTCATCTCGAAGCCACATTTCTGGGAGGGGTGGGATGAAGGGCTCTGCTTTTCAAGGCGTTCACGCAACAAGCACGCACAGGCAACTGGCCATCTGACCACCAAAGGCTATCCCAGCCCAATCCAACCCACACCTCTGCCATAGAAGCACCCAATGGGTCACAGTTGGACACATATCAATTGTCACACTGGTAACAACAACTACTACCCTTGCCACATCTGGGGGAATTACTCCAAAAAAACTATTTTGCTTGGCCTGCCCAAGAATATACACGATGCTGGAAGAGATGACATCTATGCACGGACTTCCTAGCAAGCAAGTCCCGTTCTTTGTCTCTGCAGTCGACATGTTACCAACCGGTTTTTGCAGAAGTCGGCGAGGGATGTACTACACTTGCCTTGTTCACCTGAAGAATCCATGTCCTTATGCCTTATGAGCACTAGGCAAACTACGTCTCTGAAACCAGCGTTGGAACCCTTTCTTCTTGTTGGTGTTCGACAAGATTAATTGAGGTGGGTCTTTCTAGTGGGTATCCTTTGGGGGTTCTGTGTAAAGGGAAACTAAGAGGAATTCCCCGAATTTGAACCCTGTTTTGAGACACATTCAGCATAGAGCGTAAGCCTAAAGCCCGCCGAACCGCAGCCTCGGCTCCGAGCTCTCGGAAGAATCGTCCTCACAGTGCCAGAGACATCTGTGCTGAAACCCCGGGAAACGTCGGTCGAAGATCTGCAAAGATTCGCGGTATATCAGGGTTCCGCAGAATGGAGGAAAGCAAGCCCATTTACCCTGCACATATTATACGTATGCATGTCGCCAGGCCTTGCAGTTTTGGCGGCCTGACCCTTCAAAAATCACACCCGGAAAACTTTCAGTGGCCCGGCCCCATGTGGCACAAGGACTCAGACTGCCAAGCTGCAGATTTTCGCCTTCGAATGGTTGACAGTTCACAGTCATTCGTCCTACCAAAATAACCGGTTCTTGAAGGGAAGCACACATGCCTGTATCAAAACGCAATTTGGACCCCTCCGAATAGCCTTCGTTGGGAACCATCGGCCAAAAGAGATCCACCTCCTTTGGGTTTACCAGGATCGCTCAGAGCTTCCATAAGCTTGATGATTTGAAGCCAAAGCTTGGAAGGCCCTCCGCAGAGACTGCAAGGCCAGGCTATGCGAAACCCTTGTTCTGGCTGGCCCTTATAGACGGATTCATTGCTCTCGACACAGAACGCTAGCGGAGCGGTTTGAAGCGTGTGTAGGGGGTAACCAAAACTGCTGAAAACCTGGGCCAAGGGGCTGGACACCATGTGCAAATTTGTTGCCCTTGCGGCAGAGGCTGAGGGACGTCCCGCTACAAGGGGCAGGGGTTCTGCTTCATAAACTGCTTTTAGAGGAAAAAAAGGGCACCCATTCCGTAGGAGAAACGCGAAGGGATCCATAGAATCGGTAGGCCCACTAGGTCGGCCTGGATCCTCTCTGAGAAGGCCCTGGACAGTCCCCGACGTAGCATGGACACGTGGGGGAAGGTTCTGTGAAGCCCGTCGGCAATCAACATCTCACTTCCTGAGTGGATTGGCCCAAACAGTCCAAATTTTGAATTTGGTCTTCCCGCAAATTCTAAAGTTCAGGAACTCAGGAGGTGAGAGAGGACGATCGGGCGACAGCACCCAACATACGCGCACTTGTCGACATCTCATGTAAAGGTCAAGGGAAAAGGACACCCGCTCTCTGAGAGATTGGCATGGAGCCTCATGAGGGGTCTGATAGCCAATGTGAGCGTAAAACAACCCAGTCATGTCGAAGCCTCCAAATGGTCGGTTCATGACCCTTTCTGCTTCAATAAATGCGGAGAAGGACAGCACACAAGCCACAGGCAGTTTCCCTTTTTTCCGCCCGAGCGACTTTCTTGGTGTAATCGGACGCGCTACACGCTGGCCGCTTGCCCACCATGAAGCCGCGCGCTTCGGGCTATTGGCGGGCCCCTCTGGCACAAGTTGAACAAGACACACCAATACCTGGAGGAAATCAATCAGGAACGCATTATCCGAGAAAAGAGAAGCCGGTTTGCGCTTCAGGCAACTCGAGGTCGTGTCTTTGAGCCCAAAGGTTTAGCGCATTCGGCTGTGGATGTTCCTACTCCGGCGCCAGCGCCTCGTCACGCAGGCGAGTGGCGGATCGGAGCCCTTTGGCCCGCCGCTTAGCGAATCTTGTTGGTCAAAATGCCCTCGTCGCGGTGATCTCAAGTCATCTCCTGAAGCGAGCGTACTGCAAAGCCCTGAATGACTAGCATCGGGTTTTGCAGAAATTGAAGGCCAACTCACATCACGAGCATGGGAGTAGACTGTTCGTATTTGTTAGGCCGAAGGAACACAAACAGAACTTGACTTCGCAGTGGCTGCAGGGGCTTGGATCCCAAGCCGCTGAGATTTGGAACCTGGCCATTGGCTCTGCAACCCGGTGACCAAACTGCAGACACAAAGAGCAAAACGGGACCCGAGGGTTGCCTCCAGACATCGGCGCAAGGGTACAAAGCTTGGCCCCCAAAGGGAAACCAAAATCAAACCAAAGAAATGACATCCAACTGTCTACCCGTGTGTGTTGGTCTAGAGGCTCGGATTCAGCCATTTTTTCCTCAGGCCCATTAGGTGCATGTTTCCCCCTAAGCTGGGCGGAGGGCTGGACAGCAACAGCCAATGCGTTCTCCTGCCAAATGAATCGTCCTCTCCAACCCTAGGTAAACCAGAGTTAATGAAGGGTGAGACAGCCACACAGCTAGACAAACAGAATCCTCCTTCTAGGACTTGATCCCAAGGAATGTTCGCGCATCTTGACAACACCGCAGGGTGCCGCCATGTTGAACTCGCTTGCGTCATAAACTTTAAACGTGTATGTCCATCATAAACGCAGAACCAAGGGTTTAGCATCGAAAGCTTTGGGTGGGATTTCCAAAATCATTTGACCGCACACTCCGCATTTGAACCTCCCAAGCTGGACTGAAGGGTCGGCCCAAAGCTCGGGACTGCAACAATCCAAACGCGAGCCCCAAAGTGATCCACTCCGACATGTTAAACGCTACTACTTTGATGGCTTGGTAGTCTTGCAATTGGGTCGTATTGGTGGTTGATGGCAGGAAGGATACCAACTTTGGCAGGTGCACCAACAAGGACAACACACTTGCAACAAAGCTCTAGGGTACAAATATGAGTCTAGTCTTCTTACTATCCCTTTTGTTTACACAAATTCCTTCATGAAAGGGCACAGCCCTAAGCATCATTGAACGTGCAGGGACCTCAAGTTCACCAACAAAAACCTTCCAACCTCATTTCACATACCAAGACTCTTGTAGTGGTGCGTGCGGAGTTGGAAAAAAGGGTTCTTTCACCAAGTCCGTCAAAGGATACATCACAAACACCGCCTGCCTCACACATCGGGGATCCTCTAAATCAGGTAAAAGTCATTCCTTGACAGGCCCAAATGTATCCTTTGAGGCTCCCTCTTTTTCAGCCCGTCCATGAATTACGCGGAAGACCGTGTGTGGAGCGCGGCGGGTCGGCTCCTTGCAGTCTCTGACGCAGCTTTTGCCTCACCCAGGAGTGCTGTTAAACCCCTCCGGTGGAATTTTGCGGGATCCATGAGAAATGGAGGCACCTTGGGACCTTGGCTTTGGACTTATAACATATATATATATATATATATATTTGGACTTGATTTTCAAGGAATACCCACGGGAACATGGGTAATTACCGCTGGTCTGGGAAACAGTTTGGCAAATGCACTGTGAAACCCGTGTCGCCGGAGATCCCTCCACTGGTCATTTTGCAGAAACACAAGACCCCCTTTGCATGGTGCATCCAAACGATTCCTGGGAGGTCGGCTCCGTCCCAACCACAGCAGGAAAGGAGTAGCACTAAGGACACGTGGCTGAAAGGAAGATTCCATGAGAGTCAACCCACGAGCAAAGAGGATCCAACGCAAGCAACCGCTGTGAAGCGATAAGGCAAAACAACAAACAGGGCCTTTCCTCAACAGAGGGTAAGCCACTAAGATGGGCATACAAGAACTCTAAGCTTGCCTGAAGTCCCGAACCAATTGCGGCTTCCACCCGATGCCCAGGTCATGTCCTGCCTGTGGATCGAAGCCGGCGGCCTTCCTCGCAAGAGAACATAACAGGTTGACCGCCTCCCCCAATTTCAATTCAGGGGGAGTGGGATGGTGCAAAGAGTTCCTATCTTAAAGATCCCCGTGAAGCTCTTCCGCAATA